ATATATATATATATATATATATATATATATATATTAGACCATCCCATTCTCATACATGTATATAATAAATAGATGATATTTTAAGAGAAATATTACGCGTAGTTGACGTGTACTTTGTACTCGACCCGTTGCTTTCGATCTCACGCTAGTCTATAATCCAGATCAAACGAGTCCAGCTAACGTTACCCCATCTAATCAAAATCCATTATAGTTTCCCGTATAATAATCAGACATCTGTACTCACCTGATGTGTGGGATTCCGACTCCTCCCTGGAGAATTTTGTACAACTTGCTTTCATACAGAAGTTGAGGGTGTCTGGCTTTCTGTGATTCCAATTTCACAGCTACCTCCTGAAAATATTCAAAATTAAGACCATCACTTGTCTGCTAACTTACATATAGATCGTTTACAAGACATTGAATATTGGTTTAATATTTGAGAGTACAAGATCCTTTACTCTTTGGAGAAAACATCTATATCTGTTCAAATCTGCATTAACATCGTTTCTTTATCTACCCCAAATAGTAACACATTTAAGTCATCCAAATATTACAATATGGTAAACTTTCAAGGCTGCGTGAACTATATTTTTCGATGACCATATGAATTGTGTCCTGGTAATCAGATGTGATGAGCTGGACCCATGTATAAACCCCTCAATATTCTTAGCACAGTCATTCACCACGTTAATTAAGCATCCATTTCATCTTTACCTCTCCATTTGTGATGTTGATTGCCAAATAAATGTCACCAAAGGATCCAGATCCGATTTTCCGAACGAGCTTGTATTTCCCACCGACTATGAACTCGGCTTTAGAGCCACTGCTGCTGGCCATGTCCTAAAATCCGAGAAGTACTCTGAAACTGTGTGAACGGGTGAGGTTTTCAGGCTGCCCTCTCTTCTTCAGTCCAGTAGAAACAACGCTAGCTAGCCTAAAAGCGAGTCTTCCTCACTAGCCGTGTCCTTAACAACTCACAACGACGAAATTGAGGTGATAACGGACATTGGTTTCAAGAGGAGATTAATTGTCTCGACAGTTAAGTAAAACACTATTTCCCCTGAGGTTGAGGCTGTTTTTTCTCGAGCAATTCCCCGAATAGCTGACTAGCAGCTTAGCCTGTAAGGACACGGAGGAGTCGGTGTCCTCGACGCTCTCTTCAAATCACCTCGCTTTGAGGGGCGACTTTTCTTCTTAAAGACGCGCTTTCCAGCCTATTCGACCGTACATCAAGGCAACCGACGTTTTAACGTTGAAGGAATTGTGTGAGTCGCTGCTTTCTGTTCAAAGCGCAACCCACTCACTTCGCCATCTTGTCCGTCTCGAGCTGAACAGATTCTGCTGATCTGAAGAGAGCAGCGAGACCGCGCTAACGCGCGCCGCCGCAGGCAGGGGAGGGGTTCGCGCGTGACGTCAGTGGGGCTGCGGGAACGCGCAGGGGAATTTGGGGATGTTTATTGTGAAGTCAGTGCCCTACTTATGTTATTTTAAAACATAAGTTATATATTAACTTTTATATTATATATTTATACTCAAGGACTATGACTCAGAAATTATTAAAAATGTGGTTTGCATACCATAATATTAATACACGACTGAACTGTCACGGTCTTACATTGTGTCATCTTATTAGAGCAATTTGTGGGATATTTCCTCACAGGATTTCTTTTATGTTTGTATATCTGTCACCATATAAATAGTTCGCACAGATTTAATGTTCAATATTTACACGTCTCGCGATGACTGTGCATCGCGTCGGTGACCTGCGCTTCGTGGTTCACTGATGCCACCTAGTGAGATCCTGCCAATAATAAGGCAAAAGTACATTTAGTCGTCATGTGCTCACCCTCATGATTTTTTCAACCCTGTATGACTGTCTTTCTTCCAGAACACAAAACGTGATTTTAAGACAGAATGACATTCTCGGTCATCATTCGCTTTCTTGTATGGAACAAAAGATTCCATTCAAATAATAATGGTTACTCATAATGGTCTTCAAAGAGAAAGCAGTCATAACGGTTTACGACAACATAAGGGTGAATAGGCTAAATGATTTTGAATGAAATATCTCTTTAAAGATTTCTCTCAATCAAGTTATTGCACATGTCCCTCTTAATCATATTTTAGTTCTGTTTGACTACTCATCAAACTGATGAATTATTACCTAATCTCTTGATGGAATGTTTCATGACAAGATGGACAACATAAGATTTACTTATCATAACTCACTATAAAAACAACATTCAGAAGACAAAATCATCCCAAACTGATAGGAGGCCATCAACCAAATAAAGCAATTTAGTTATGACTGTATATGTGAAGCCAGTAAAAATGTAAAAACAGTAGTATTGCAATATATTTATAAATGTTTATAAAAAAACACTTTTCTATTTAAATATATTTTAAAATGTATTCCTGTGATGGCAAAGCTGATTTTTAGCACTTATTACTGCAGTCTTCAGTGTCAAATTATTCTTCAGAAGTCATTCTAAGTTGGCCCTCAAGAAACATTTCTTCTTATTATCAATGTTGAGTTGTAATGCTTAATATTTGTTCTGATATTTTTTAAGGTTATTTGATGAATATAAGTTTGTAAAGAACAGCAATTACTATACATTTATTATAAATGTCTCTACTGTCATTTTTCATCAATTTAATGCATCGTTGATGAAAGGGGTCATATGATGCTTTTTTAAAGATCATTATTTTGTGTATTTGGTGTAACAGAATATGTTGATATGCTTTAATGACATTATTGTAGGTCCTCTATGCCCCGCCTCTCTCAAACGCTTCGTTTTCTACAGTTACTGAAACCACGCCTTCTTTCTTTGCGTGCACATTTGGGCGCATTATGCAAATATTCCCACATAGTGACCTAGATATGTGGGGGCGTGTTAGAACGAGTCGTTTTAGGGGGGTGTGGCAGAGTCTTAACTTTGATAAAGAATATCTCTTTGGTTTTGAGACTTTAGTCTTTGCAACTTCAGGGATCTTATCTATTCACGAACAGCTTGTAACACTCCAAAGAGAAAGGAAAACTTGAAATCGCATCATATGACCCCTTGAATAAAAGTTTTTTTTTCTAGTCTTGTTTTTTTTACTTACCACAACTCACTACAAAAACCCTATTTAGAAAAACAAAAGCATCCCAAACTGATAGGAGGCCATCCGCAAAATAAAGCAAATGAGCAATTACTGCATATGTGAAGCCCATGCAGATTTTGAAAATGAGGCATTTACTGACTATGAAAACAAATACAGGTAACGAGCCATCATTTTTTTGCAACAAACATTTTGCATTTTAATGAAGTTAGACATCATGTTTGTAAAAAGAGGTCTTTATTTAGACCTCTGATTATTCAGCTTTGCTCTTCTCATGGACAAAAGGGACTTTATGCTTGTAAGTACGGCTTTCTGTTGCTATTTCTATTTATTAAAAAGTCAGGATAAATAGTAAGAAGCAGAAGCAGTTTCTTTAGGATGCACTTTGTTGACGAAGACTTCTCTAATCTAAAAACCACAAACAAATGACCTTAGTCCCAAATGCCCTTAGTCATTGTTTGTGGACCATTGCATGAATGTCACCCGTCAGGTTCTTTCTGGGTAGGCAGAAACAATGAGAGGGAGGGAGGAGTGTTGGTAATTTCAAAAGCTATATAACTACAGAGCCCCAGATACAAAAATACACCTGCTGAATTTCCCACTCTCAACTCACACGACGACAGTGATCATGAAGTTTGCTATCCTGATCTGCGTTTCTGTTCTCTTTTACCTCTCTGGTAAGTATCAAAATTGGCATTTTAAGGTCCATAAATACAATCAAGTGTGAATATTGTGTAATAATTATCTTAATTAAACCCAAATCCAGATTTATACTTACCTCAGGCTACTACTGTTGTTTAACATACATCATGTGACACTGATGTGTCATAATAATAAATGTCATGTTTGAGATACACAATGTTTCTTTAACATATAGATGGTGACTTTTACATCGTTTGCTTTCCTGAAAATCCACACGATAAGGTTACAGCTCACAAGATGAAACTTTTGTTCTTTAGAGCCATTATTCACTGACCCAGACAGACCCATTTTGTGATATTTTGGAATGGGTCCATGTTGTAGAGATCCATGATAGCTGACATATGACACTGATGAGAACTGGGATACTGCTTAGTGGGCCAGACCTTTTGCCGTTTAAAAAAAAAGAGAAAATATGGACAGAAGCAAGCCAGAATCCAAAAGATGAATTGTTGATATAGGGTTAGTTATCCTTTATCCAGCCTGATTCTCTGACCACAACCTATTTTGAAGTATTGTAGGAAAATATATCCCTTTAATCTATGCAAATACACTCAAGAACATTAAACTCAAGGAAGTTAATTGTTTGTTTTTTTTTAAATGACAAAGATTATAACAAAAGGGAGAGAGAAAAAAGAGAGGGAGCACAAATACGTAAAGTACCTGCTATTCAAAAGAAACATACAATAGGTTGAACAGAAAGTACAAAACTTGCTTAGCCACTTTTTTCTTTTTTTTTTTAATCTAAGTCTTGTCTGGAATTTCAACAGGGAAAAAATAGTGCCTTTACTGGTTCATTTCTCATAATAATATACATTTTTTCAATACTATTTCCACAGTGGCAGAAACACAACAGAGCGAGGTAAGTTAAAGTAAAAAAAAAAGAAGTCATTTTAAAGTTACCAGATGTTGCAGTAACTATTTCAGATTTTGTATGTTTTTGAAATGTCTTTTATGCTCACCAAGTTTGCATTTATTTGAACAAAACTACAGTAAAAACAGTAATGTTGCAATACTCCAGTATTTAGTGTCACATGTTCCTTCAGAAATCATGCTGATTTGGTGCTCAAGAAACATTTATTATTATTTTGTTTAATGTTAAAAACGTTTTTATGGAAACTGTCACATTGTTTTCAGGATTCTTTGATGATTATAATTTTTTAGCATTTATTTTAAAATAGAAATCTTTTGTAACATTATAAATGTTTTTACTGTCACTGTTGCTCAATTTAATGTGGCCTTGTTTGAAATTATTAATGTCTTTAAAAATCAAATTTACTGACCCCAAACTTTTAAAACAGTAGCGTATAATCAAGTAAAATGGGATCATGATAATCATGATATTTGGTTTTATTTTGGGAATCTTTCTGACATCTTCATAATAGGACAACAATGTTCCTGATTTTGGATGTACTCGTGAGTACAATCCAGTGTGTGGAGATGATGGAGTCACATACTCCAATGAGTGCATGCTACACTGGGAGAGCAAGTATGTGAGCAATGTGTAACACTGAACATTTGTGCAATGTAAATCCAGCATTTTGAGAAAGCTGAGGCAACAGATGTGAGAATTCTCAGGCTAAGCCCAGATGTCAGTTACTTACAAACCTTTCAAGGTTTAGTAAACATGTTTTCATTATGAGGACAAAATATCTTTTATAAAAAAAAAGCACAAGGCATAGTCAACATTTTTTACAGCAATTCAAACAGTATTTGTCCCTCTTCTAACCGGTCTTCTCTGTTTAGGCATCGTAACAAGAACGTCAGCCTAAAGCACGTAGGAGTGTGTGAGACCTCCTGAACTCACTGCTGTTACATCTATGGCATCCAAAATGGCTTTCCATTTAGATACTACAGCAACTACGAATGATTTTCTGTCATACGTTAATCAGTATCATATAATGACATATGCTATTTGAACTTTTCCAGACATCACTTTGTCAACATGTAATTTCATGCAATAAAACAGTTTAGAATTTAAGAGCTCTATTTTATTAATAAATTAATAAATAAGAACTGTAATTTCAAATAAACCATATTTATAATCTACATTTTCTTTCTTTCTGTAGGATTTTGTAGTACATAAAAGCATTTTTTTCTTCTGGACCAGATAAAAAAAAAACTACAGAATCTTCAGAAAGCTAAAAATACTTAAAATTACATTTTTAATATATGGGTGAATACATGATTACTTTTTGTTTGCATCATTCAAAAATACATTAAAAATTCAATTTATACATACACTGACTCGAACATATATTTTCTATGATATAAATGTTTTTGCTTTCTGAAATGTATTTCATTTAGACATTTTTAGAGGGCCATGAAGTAAAAAAATATTGGGGGTGATACAACTGTCCTTATATTATAATCATCTGATTATAATGTTAAAAAGCTGATTTAAAGTAAATAAAAGCCTGATCAATATGTTTTCTGTGAAAAAAATCCCACAGGAGAGCAAATATGTTTAGAAGTTGTCCTTTTTTGTGGTGAACACATTTTAAATGATCATTACTTATCATTTGCTCATCTAATTATGTGAAAATGATAAAAAATTCTAGCACTACAGCTGTAAAATTCTGATTTTAAGTTTTGATTTTTTTCTGATTTGTTATTAAAATTATACTTCATCTATAGGGCTTCTTTCAATTGTTAATAGCATGGTGAAGACAGTAATTTGCATGCCACATTCTTAATTGAGCAACCAGACAAATCCATAATTTACAACTCAATTATTTTATTAGCTCACTGTGTTCCAAGAAAGCAGCAGCAGTACCAATTTATACCTGTCACATTTTAACCACCATAGAGTCCACAAGTGCCAGGATCTCCGCAAAATAACCGTCCTGCTCTCCTACTTCCTGCTCTGTGAGCACCAGTTCTTGGTACTGTTTTTGCAGTTCACTAAGAGAGGCTGTCAATGCGGGATTCTGTTTATATTGAGTCTGACATTGAGCCATCATGGCAAGCAGAGTGCGCAGAGCCTTCTCTCTGCAGTCATGCTCAGGTGACGCTAAAAGCTCAGGCACAAGGCTACACCACCCCTGCTCCACCAACACGGGCAGGAGGGAGACTTCAGCATACTGTCGCAACCGTTCCTGATGAGACGAATCTGGTATAAGGTCCATTCCCACCTGTGATATCAACTCCTACAACACAAAGTACAAGTGGCTTTTAACAATGAGTAAATTAAATACGGTAGCTATAGATTGTGAAATGAAAAACTGACTTCAAACATGTTTATTTTCTCTTATGCTTACCAATGCTGCATTTATGTGATTAAAAAATTAAATATCATTACATTTTAAAATAACATTTTATACGTTTTAACATTTTAATATAGTAGAATTTATTTCTTGATGGCAAAGCTGAATTTTCAGCAGCCATTACTCCAGTTTTCAGTGTCACATGATCCTTCAGAAATTATTCTAATATGCTGATTTGCTGCTCAATAATTTTTTATTGTTATTATTATTATTACCAATGTTAAAAACAGTTCTGCTGTTCTGAATGGTAGTGTAGCAAGGTTTAAGCTTATAAAAAAATATTAACCTTCTCAATGATCATATCATAGAGAACCGTGATGATTCTCACGCGCAGAGGTTCCGTCCCTGGTGTTTGAAAAAGTTCGCTAAGCACCTGCACACCACCAAGTTTCAAAAAGTGACTTTGTGCAAATGGGAAGTGACGCAGGAGTGAGGCCACAGCAAATAACACCTGTGTTAAATCAGAATCAACAGTTAATGATGCATTCATCTACATTAATAAATAATAACAATTGACTACCCATATTAACAGCATAATGCCCATGGTTTCTGGTTGGTCATACCTTTTTCTTTACTGTTATTGGTCGCTGAGTGGCAAGCAATGTCAACAGTTTCTGTAACGCACCGCCTTCTATTGCCTCAACTTGCACTGATGGATTACTAGAAAAATGTAGATGACAATGGATTGCGTCAATGTAAATGTGCATTCACGTTTTGCAAAATTTCACAGAATCTGCTTGACCAAATCAGACCTGTTGACAAATTTGTCTGGCGAAATCCCTCCTGATTGCATGGATTTCTAATGAAATCACTGGATTTTGCCCATAAAAATGAACTTATCAGTAAATGTGACCACACTTTAAATCATGTGTAAGCAGCAGTTTTGAGGAAAATGCCACTTACCTTGAAACAGCAGATCCAAGCACAAACGCAGCACTCTCTTGGAGACGAATGTCTGTACTGTTTAAAACATTTATAACCAGTTGCATTCCTCCCATGGACACCAAATTCTGGGCATTATCTACCTATAAAAGGGATTCAATGACTTTGAGAAACAGTGAACTGTATTTCAAAGACATTTTGTTTCATAATCATAATTGAGGCTTGACCTGGTGCACAAGGTACTCCAAGTCAAGAAGAGCTGTGATTTTTTCCTCAGTTGTGCTGTTGGTATTATTAAATTGGTTTAAAAGCCTCCTCATAACTTGAACATCTGTTTCCACAAGCATGTCGAGTGCCTCCATGTCTTTTTTCAGCTCTTCGATGGGGCGAAATTGAGCCCTCACTGCATTCTCATCCTAGAATCAAACATCTTGATTAAAAAAACTCAAATAACAAAGGAAAGTGGCTAGTGATAAACTGAAATGAACATACTTGTTTTGAGTCCACAGGATCATCCATTCCTTCTTTCAATTTTTTCAAAGACTCTTTCAACTCCTCAGCTGTGAATGACGGGCTGTGCAGGTTCAACATCCCTAGCCTGCTCCACAGAGGAAAATTATGCATAACAAGCTATGTGATACATATATTTTAGATTACTACATTCTTCTATCGCTATACCTATTTCCATCTCTCCCGTATTTCAGACCTTCTTCCTCTCCCATCTTGACCTCTCTTTGGCCCGTCTGAAGATTCAATCTGACATGAGAGCCTGCTGGAACTGCTTGACCTGAATTGAATTACAGACAAATAAGGAATTGATCTGTTAATCATCGATTTATTTAAGGACACAACAGTCAGCATGGGAATAAACACACCTGGTTTGAGAGTTTGCCACTTGTCTGTAGGTCTAAATACCTCTAAATCTTCAGAATCCTCATCCTCTAATAGTGTCTCTTCACCCTTGCTATGATCATCAGAGCCTTCTTTGATAGACAGGGCTGTTGGTGACTGAGTAGCCAAAAATGATACTGTTATTAAAGTGTAACAATAAAAGAAATACTACGATGTGCAACAGCAGATCCCACCTTCTCATTGTGGGCACATATGAGATGAACACTGACAAGCCAGAGGGCAATTGACAATCCAAGTCTCCACTTCTTTTGCATTATACGTCTGGTCATCATTATCTTGTACAAAAGAAAATCGCAATATGCGCGCAAATAAATCATGAAAAATAATCTGATAAACAATCACACGTCATCCATGCCCAGGAGACCAGCTGAAAGTAAAATCCATTCTAAAAACTTTGGTGATATACGGTTACTAAATTAACTAATTCCGGATTTGCCCGTTCTACGGTAAAAATTATCAAAATATGTTTTGTTTAAGCTGTTAACATGCTGAGTTTAACGTCAGCACCATCCAGAAAGAACCAACTAGAACCCACGTTAATTTCCGCAGTCCATCTGGACGTAATACGTGAACCAATCAGATAACTGCAAGTGTGTGTTTTCGGAAAACGTCATTATTTCTGGTCGCGATGATTGGCTAAAGGAAGATGCACCTTTTCATTACGCAATCAAAGGCAAGTTGAACAGCTTTTTTATTATTATTAAACAGAAAATGTAATTTATATATTTGTATATTACGTTTTTAAAATAGGACACGGCTATAAATGTAATGTTAACTTCCTGTTAATTACATATATGTGGATTACACAAGCAACAAAGTCTTCTGTATGACCTACAAAAACTTGTTTTCCTTTTCCAAGACTACAAACTAAGAAAAACCAACAAGGCTATAGTAATAACTAATGGTTATATAAACTAACCATTTGCACAAATACTGCTGAAGCAGAACTTCTTATTATAAAATGGCAATACTGTACTCAATATACAACAGCACAGTGGCTTATACACTGTTCAATCAATCATGTATGCACTGTTAAGAAGGTTACTTTGGAAAAGTAATAGGTTACAGATTACAAGTTACCATATTTAAAATGTAATAGTAGTGTAACTATTTTAATTACTTTATTAAAATAATGTAACATTACATATGATTACATTTCTACATTTTTAACAAATGTTTTCAAATGTTAATCATTTTCAAACTTAAAGCAGGCAGGGTTAACCTTACAGTAGCACTCAACACTGCTTACTGTCAGACTTTCAGAATTCAAGTTTATTATTTTTTTTGTACAGCGCTTTTCACGATACAAATCATTGCAAAGCAACTTTGTGTCTGAACCCCAAACGTTATCAGGAAGGCTATTCCAGAGTTTGGGAGCCAAATGTGAAAAAGCTCTACCTCCTTTAGTGGACTTTGCTATCCTAGGTACTACCAAAAGTCCAGAGTTTTGCGACCTTAGGGAGCTTGATGGATTGTAGCGTGGTAGAAGACTAGTTAGGTATGCAGGAGCTAACCCATTAAGGGCCTTATAGGCAAGTAATAATATTTTGTAACTGATACGGAACTAAATAGGTAGCCAGTGCAGAGACTGTAAAATTGGGGTAATATGATCATATTTTCTTGACCTGGTAAGGACTCTAGCCGCTGAATTTTGGACTACCTGTAGCTTGTTTATTGAAGATGCAGGACAACCACCTAGCAGTGCTTAGGATCCTTCTTCATTTGAATCAAGATTAAAATAATTTTATTTTAAAGCACAGCCACCACAAAATCAGACTTTAGCAGCTGTTTAATTTGAGATCATTGTTTAATTACAGATTTAAAATCATAAGATATAGTTTAATAGCTATGATACTGTTTTTGAAATCAAAATCTTTGCATCGCTGACAGGAAACTGGCATCTAACAATGCTTTGGGGAAAAAAAAACAGTTAATGTTAAAAAAATAAAAC